ACTAAATAGCCTTTACTACTTTAATAAATCAACCAAGGTGAGTGAATTTATAGAAAACAGCTGAAATGCAAGTCATTTTTCCAGAAATGCATGTTTGTGTCTGAGCCTCGCACTCAAGTACAGTAACCTTTACTATGTTACTGGATTATTGGTTTAGCAAAGCTTCAGGAACCCCCAAAAGTTCATTCCTTAAGTTTCATTCAGAGTAAAGGCAACTTTCAAATACAATAAAAACTTTGACTTATATCATAATGAAGCACAGATAGCAAAAAGGACAGAGGAATAGAAGAGAAACAGCAGGAAGAACAGTGAGGAGCAAGGCGAGAGGAAAATTCCTCAGAACAACATCAATGAGAACATTTTATGTACAGTACAGATCTTGATAATGTGGGTAGCCAGAAGATGAAAACAACATTAATATAAAGAGGAAGAGATCTGAGAACCTTAAAAATAAGAATGAAGATTCCAGCAAGTCAACCACAAAAGATCCAAAAGTGGGTCGATTTCAGGCTTTTTTGGGTTGCTTTAAAGGAGTGTGTCATCTCCTGGGCAAATTGCTTCCTGCAATGTTATCCAACATAGGATACAAGAGGTTTGGTCCACAAATGAGTACATCAGCTGCTCCAGATTAAAAATATATGATGAACAGGTAAGGATTTCTAACACTATGAATACACCAACTTTGTGTATAGTTTTTACCAAATCCATTGTTGCAGATATGTATACAGATGTCTATATGCACATGCAGACAAACACCAACTATCTTTAGAAATCACATTTGCCCTGCAAAACAACATTTGCAGACATTCACCAACATCTGTTCTCCAGTTGGAAGAGATACCTACTGTAGTGTATATATAATACACCATGTGAAGTGCTCTGCTCTAGTTTCTTATAAATGAATCTAGCAGCTAGGGTTCAAAAAGTATATAAAGCAACTCAGTAACAACAAATCATATAACAAAATCTGCAGAGCTTCTAATGTCATACCCCCATACATATAGAAAATATTAAAATGCATATATACACTACAAATTACTAAAGTACAAAAAACACACACACATATATATATATATATATATATATATATATATATACACACACACACACACACACATATATACACACACACATTTATATATAATAAAGCACATTAAAAAAAACAAAACATTTTTCTTGGTGTTTCAATCAGAAAAGAACGCTAATTTTAAACAAATAAATGAAAAACTAAGGAAAGAAGGTAATGAAGGAGTTAACAAAAACTACTTAGGGGTTACTAAAGGTTAATAAGTTAATTGTTTACAATTTTTTTTTTTCTTTATTTGCACATAACAGCAATTTGTGAATGAATGCATAGTAGCTTTCATTTAAATACACACTGAGGCTCCATGCACACTGGGTGTTTTAATAATGCTGGTAACGTTAACGTGAGTTTTTCAGCGTTTTTGTATTGGCGTTTTAGCAGCGTTTTTTTTTTTGCGTTTGCATTTTTAGCAGGTTTTTTGTTACCCCCCCCAAATTCTCGGCTTTAGAGCGTTTTTACAGCTGAAAAACTCCTCTAGAAACCCACTAGTTCTGGGGGTTTTTTTTCCAGCCAAAAAATGTCCCTGCCAAAAAATGTTGATTACAGTCTACGTGTGCATGGACACATAGGATAACATGCTGGGGAGTTTACTGCCTGTAGAAAAAAAACGTGAAAAGCCAAAAACAGCCACTGTAAAAAGGTCCAGTGTGCATGAGGTCTAAATAGGACTCAAACTCTCTCTCTGATAGTTCCGCAGATTTCATAGGGAGAATGGAAGACAGCTCTCCCTGTGTAATCATCCAGGTCCTGAGCTTTACCTACTAGGAGCACACAGTACTCCTGATACAGAATTTGCAGCTGTCGCACTGCCAGTGCCTCGAAACAGACCTGGGCTCGATAATACACACGACAGTTCTGTAAATGCTGAAAGCGAAAAATTCTTGTACATTAAATTCACTAAATTGTCTTCAGAATAATGTACTAACTTTCTTGTCTCCCTAAAATGTTTACAGGGTCATCTTTTCAATTCTCATACAGCCTCAGTAGACGTATTTATGTTCAGCTTTATTATTTACACCACTGCTACCAGAAAATATCCATTTCATGGTGGATGGTAGCCTCCAAGAAATAAGCAGCCAATCTTGCACTAAGAAACTAGATATTAAAATCCGCTACACTTTGGAGAAAGTAAATACATTATATATATTTCTCAGCTATGGTACAGCTCTCTCCCCTCCTCTCAACTCAAAGGCCCTTTTCATTCATGTAGGACTTGATAAGAGAGAAAAAATGACAGATCCGTATATGCCAAGGGCAACGGCCAAGACTTTAACTACACTCAGAATACAATAACGGAATTCTACAAGCTCTTCCTAAAAAGCAGAGAATGCAGAAGCCCATCTAGCACCTGCATAACTTATGAGAGTTTTGCCTGCGGGAGCAGTAAATGTAAATGGATCTGCAAAGTGACATTGCTGCCAAAATTTGGGCAGAGTTACACAGAGCAGAGACTTTATTGCCCTCTGGTGTGTTCTGATCCACTCAGATAAATACACCATGTCACCCAGAATTCAGAGGTGTGTACTGGGTGTCAGTGATCCTCTTCAAACACCCCTTTTTCACACTTGTTGAAGAAAGCTGCTGTTGGTGTGTACTGTGTCTAGAGCACTGCCAATGCACTGAAAACAGTGCATCACAATGTTGTAGGAATATTGCAATATATATATACATATATATATATATGTACTGTATGTGGTGTATTCTAGGACTGAGCTAGATGTATTTTACACAACAAAATGCACAGCCAAGGACTCTTTGGTATGTTTATTTTATGCAAGATCCCCTGGGCACTCAGGGGCCAGCTTGTTACATTTCAAAGGAGGTAATCTGCAAACTTGCAAGGGTGATAAAATGCAAATAGCTCAATCAGACTTGAACGGATTTGGTCAACATCTACTATCTAATAAACATGAAAAAGGTACATAGCATTCTTGAAAGGGTAACTTGTTTTTTATTATTATTATAAAGGATTTATATAGCATCAACAGTTTGCTCAGCGCTTTACAATATAACAGGAGACAATATTTTTAAACTTATCTAATTAATAGTAAAAGAATGCAGTTTAGGAAATATCTGGACAACTTTGATTAGAATTATGACTGCAGCTGTCCAAGCCCAAAAGGCATTACCCATCACCCAGAAGATCAAAGGGGCTACTAAAAAGTGGCCAGAGTGCTTGCCATTGTACTGAATGGGAAATATGTGTATATTAAGGAAGCTTCTTTTTGGTTAAATGTGACAGGAGAAAGTGAGCCCTCTGAGTTTGATGGTTGCATGAATATTCTAAATACCCTGTCAGCTGCCTTATCTGTACCTCCACTTTATAGGAAGCTTCTTACCATTCACTAATGTGGGAGCACAGATATAGATTATAACTCACATTATTGCATGCATGGAAGCTACCTAGGTGCATGTTATAGATTGGACATATGCTGAACGGTGTAGTATCTCTATGCTTGATATGAAGTATCTGAAATGGGACTCTCTGGACTGTTGTTCATTGTAACAAGTATTCAGCTGGATTTCTGTCATCTGTTGCAAATATCTTTATCCAAATAAATGCATCTCTCTGGAAAAGAACTGTTGGATTAGTTGCTGCTGGAAAAGTACATTTATAAATATACACTGGTCATCTGTCCTCCATCATAATTTAAGACAACAGATTTAAATATCCATCTCTGGCAAAAGAACTGTTGTACTATATTAATATAAGTCAACAAATGTAACCCTTTTTTTGTTGTTCCAACTTTATCGGATGACATTTCATACAAGTTCTATTTTCTGCAGCTATGTTTTGATGTGAAGTTCTATATCACAACACGCCTTATTTACAAAGAACTGCATGTTGTACCCCTATATAGGGTGGAATATGTGACACGTTCCAGAAGCTGCAGCCTCTCACCAACCCCCCCCAACTGACAGCGAGCAGGGGATTTTGTCTGCTGTCACAATTAGAAAACAACACAACTGTGAGGAGCTCCACCCACACAGCCACATCATTCATTCACAGTTTCCTGTTAATGCCCAAACTACAAATACTGTCAGCCATTGCGGGTAATGGCTTGTAGTTCTGAATAGACTGTGGGAGCAGCTTCATAGTTCATTCACAAGCCCTGCAGCTTGAAAACAGTCCGTCCATATGAAGGTACAGACAGGGCTTCTCTGCAGGAGTCTAGCATTGTACCCTTGATCCATTCAACACGGGGGCAATGTTCTTCAGGCTTCCTTGGGAAAAAATATTACATGCACATTTTTTTTCCTACAAAATTTTGAATTTAGCCTTTAATTGTAAACAAGGCAAATTGAATTGCCTATGAGTTGGGACTCGGAATCCCTGCCCAGCCTAGCCTAGTGTGAACAGGCTCTTAAACTTAACATTCAATAAAACAAATGTCATATACGTATGTGAAATAAAATGAAAGCTTATAAGACTGGACATACATTATACCATTTTCTTGTACAGTTTTCTTTTAAATTTACCAAAAACCTAAACAACACCTACAACTTTTATCAGTCTGCAATCAGGCAGACCCATGCATTACATAGTTGAAGGTAAATCTATGAAATTGTACAAGAAATTTGCATAGCGTATAACCAGCTTAAATGTAAGGTACAGACAGGGCTTCTCTGCAGGAGTCTAGCATTATTCTGCTTCTGCTGAGTAATCAAAACCAGCAGTAACTGTATAGGAGAAAACGGTTTGGAGCTAGCCGTAACCACCACTGTTATGTGTCTGCACAAAAATTCTAGATACAACTTTTATAAACTAAAGTTTCCTTCCTTACAGTATTATATCCACCAAACATATGCCTAAACATCATGAAAGTAACTACCGTATTTTTCGCTCCATAAGACGCACTTTTGTCCCCCCAAAAAATGGGGGAAAACGTCTGTGCGTCTTATGGAGCGGCCAGCCTGGTTTTCCTGCCGCCGTGTCAGAATACCGGGCCTGTCGCTCGGCTCTTCTCTGCAGCAGAACCTTACCTATTCCTTGGTCCAGCGGTGTCCACACTGTCTTCTCTCCCAGCGCGGGCATCTTTAGTGTGCGCACCCGGCTGTGACAGCTTGCGGCTTCATAGATGGGTGCCCACTGCGCATGTGTGAGAAGCGCTGCACTTTGTGAAAGGTCCGGCAGTCTTCTGGGACCTGTCGTGTCCCAGAAGACGGAGAGGGAGGAAGTGGGAGTGGGTACCTGTCAAATTCGGGTACCCCTCCCAAAGGTCAGCAGTCTCTGATCATCCCCTGTACTGTGTCCGCAGTCTCTGGTCATCCCCTGTACTGTGTCCGCAGTCTCTGGTCATCTTCTTTACTGTGTCCGCAGTCTCTGGTCCTCTCCTGTACTGTGTCCGCAGTCTCTGGTCATCTCCTATACTGTGTCTGCAGTCTCTGGTCATCCCCTGTAGTGTGTCTGCAGTCTTTGGTCATCCCCTGTAGTATGCCTGCAGTCTTTGGTCATCTCCTGTAGTATGTCCGCAGTCTCTGGTCATCTCCTGTACTGTGTCCGCAGTCTCTGGTCATCTTCTGTACTGTGTCCGCAGTCTCTGGTCATCTCCTGTACTGTGTCCGCAGTCTCTGGTCATCTCCTGTACTGTGTCCGCAGTCTCTGGTCATCTCCTGTACTGTGTCCGCAGTCTCTGGTCATCTCCTGTACTGTGTCCGCAGTCTCTGGTCATCTCCTGTACTGTGTCCGCAGTCTCTGGTCATCTCCTGTACTGTGTCCGCAGTGTCTGGTCATCTCCTGTAGTATGTCTGCAGTCTCTGGTCATCCCCTGTAGTATGTCTGCAGTCTTTGGTCATCTCCTGTAGTATGTCCGCAGTCTCTGGTCATCTCCTGTACTGTGTCTGCAGTCTCTGGTCATCTCCTGTACTGTGTCCGCAGTCTCTGGTCATCTCCTGTACTGTGTCCGCAGTTTCTGGTTATCTTCTGTACTGTGTCCGCAGTCTCTGGTCATCTCCTGTACTGTGTCCGCAGTCTCCGGTCATCTCCTGTACTGTGTCCGCAGTCTCTGGTCATCTCCTGTACTGTGTCTGCAGTCTCTGGTCATCTCCTGTACTGTGTCCGCAGTCTCTGGTCATCTCCTGTACTATGTCTGCAGTCTCCAGTCATCTCCTGTACTGTGTCCGCAGTCTCCGGTCATCTCCTGTAGTATGTCTGCCGTCTCTGGTCATTTCCTGTACTATGTCTGCAGTTCATTGCTTCAGAATATTTTTTTTTCGTGTTCTCCTCCTCTAAAACCTGGGTGGGTCTTATAGTCCAGTGCGTCTTATGGAGTGAAAAATACGGTAAATTATGTTTCTTAAATAGAAGTTAAAAAAAAAAACCCACAAAAAACAACTGTTTTAAAGTGTTACTAAACCCAGGACCCTGCATTCACTCTATCTGGTCTCCCACAGTACAAAAGACATGGAAATGCAATTATTTTAGTAAATATAAACTGCTAAATACCTTTTCCCATCAGCAGTTAGAGCAGTCTAGTGACTTCTATCAGTGTTCAGCAGAGCACTGGTTAAAGTTTGTAGGAGTTTTGTTTCTGCTCTAGGAGGATGCAGAACCCCTGACCTTTGTCTGGAAAGTGGTGATTGGACCTGTGCTGATCCCATGCACTGTCTCAAGAAAGAAACAAACAAAAAAAAAAAACCTCTCTAGCAATACACACCAAACTGAGCATGTTCAGAGTGTCTCCACACGATATGGCTTATCAGGAGATAAGAGGGGGACACTGGAAGAGGAGGATCAGAGAAGTCAGGGTCAAACAGCATTTTTCCACAATACAGATTATTAAGCCCTTAGGTTCCACAGCAGCCTTTCTCAACCTTTCCAACAAAGAGGAAACCTTGAAATAAATTTCCGGTCTCAGGGAACCCCTGCTAAAAAAAATATTATATCTCCTATCCTATCTGTAAAAAAAAAAAAATATATATATATATATATATATTATATATACACACACACACACACCTCATGAGGTTCAGTGGGTAGAATGCCCCTTACTTTTGTGGTCATTGGGAAGAATTACCCCCTTACAGATAGCTAAAAGGATCAATGGCTTCAGTGGGAACTTATTTGAGAGTCAGAAATTTCTCATTGCTCAAGGAACCCCTAGCAACCTCCGGAGGAACCCTGGTTAAAAAACCCTGTTCCACAGTGAGTATAACAAGCATGCTTTACTGCATATACAGACTGATTTTACTGTTGTGAGTTTAGTATCACTTTAAGTTACTTGAGTTGAACCATTATTAGTGCCCACTCCACTAAAGCTACGTTCACACTAGCCTTGTTAACAAGCTGCAGACAGACGTTTGGGAAGCGTTTTTACGGTTTCCCAAACGCCTGGGAAAATTCTGCACATTGCAACACATGGTGCTGTTCAAACAGGAGTGTTAGCGTCGTGCCAAAACGGACGCCTTTGGTCAAGTCAGGAGGAGTTGAAGCCTCCTATTCAAGTCTATGGTGCCGCTTTGCAAATGCCTGCGGTTGCGGGGCGTTTGCGGAGCGTTAACACCATTAAAACTTCATTATAGGCATTTGTGGGGCGCTTGGCAAACGCCTAGCAACCTCCGCTAAACTGCGCATGCGGTGTTTGCGGAGCGTTAAAAACACTCCGCAAACGCCGGACCAACGCTTGTCAGACGCTATAGGGGCGTTTGGCAAGAGTTGGAAAAACAGTCAAGTGTGAACGAGCCCTAAGACTGGTGGCGGTGTGCTGCTGGCATGCATTGATGTGCAATTATTTTGTGCATTATCACATTTATTTTGAATGGGCTGCTCACACACTGCATAATTTAACATATAGACACTGTTTTTTTTCAAGGCAGTAAGCTATAATGCAGCAAAAATGCAAATGGCTTGGGGTCTTTACAGAGAACATTATGATGAAGGCAGACGTCTATTTTGTTTACAATGTATAACCACACTGTGGTATAGGACACCTGTCTAGTCTTCCTCCAGGTTTGCGGCATTCCTCGAAGCACAGCCTTTACTGAATTTACTGAGCTCTCATTAGTCTGCTCTCGGGGAATACAGCTGATATGATCTGGCTCCTTTGTTCTTGTGTCAGCACTAAATTATAAAAACATAAGATGCAGTACAAGAAAAACTCAAGCTGAGAGCCAAAATCTTCTGCTTACACCTGCAGAGTATCATTTAAATTAATAAGGGGAGTGTGTGCTGGTTTTGTCTGTGTGACATATAGCAGCCACAATCAGGTGCCGAAGGCTCAGCTGCACCCATGGCGAGAAAGTAAGATACTACGCTGACAATAGCTAGGTAACAACTTCATAGGACATAAAAGGAAAAAATAAATAATAAATAAAGGCATTTGAAAATAAGGACCTCCTTGTAATTGTGCTCTACTGTATATGTGGCTATTTACACAGCAGGATAGATACTACATATAAAAAGCGATGGATGGGCGCAGCATATTTTTGAAGGCATTTCTCGGTGTGTTTTACAACGGCTAAATCATTGGGATGATTCAGAGATGTGTGCTCTACACACAAAAAGGAGAAATGGAGCCTTGCTTTTTTAATCAATACAAGATAATGGTTTCCTGACTTGCAAGTAGAATGTTGAATATTAAATACTAAGCACTTCCAAGCCTTAAATCGATATATAGAAATAACGTTCACCTTGTGCAGATAGCATAGGGTTTACTTAAAGCCCTCTAGGCTGTCTGTCACATTGCACAGTAACAAGAGCACAGCACAAACACACTGCTTCTCTATGTATTACATTTGAGCCCTTTAGAGATGAAGAGTAGCTTAAGCTGTAATGCCACCATGGCATTATTGAAAATGGCTTCAAATCTCTGTGTTAGGCTTCCCTGTGACCTTTCCGTAAGGCTGTTGTTATATATGGAAAATTACATTTAAATTCAGCACTACATCTATTACAGTTTTAAATGGACTCAAAACAGTTTCAAGAGCATAAACAAAGCAATTAATGATGATTTCACCAGTATTCACATAAGCTAGACATTGAGGGACAACCCCCCAGGGTACTTAGGCTATGACCTAGAGCAGTGTTTCTCAACTGGGGGTTCTGTGGGAAGGTCTCCAGGGGTTCTGCAGTGATCTACCCATCAATTGTACAGTGCTGAAAGGTAAATCACATCCTCACTGCTGAAACTCCCCTATCAATTCTCCTGCAAGTAGAGCGCTGAAGGTAAACAAAGAGTGTCTCTGCTCTTCCCTGCCGGCCCTCCTCTGCATCCCAGGTGCTTGTATGTGAAAGGATGGACAGGAGAGGAGGGAAAATCTGGGAATAGAGTGCCAGCACCAGTACTATCACACAGTCCCTCTGCATGAAAAGGAAATCGCATATAACTATGCCCTGCCTTTAACTAGTAATGCACCCATGTAATCATGTGCCATGTAACTATGCCCTGTAATCATGTGCCCCTAACTCCCATGTAATCATGTGCCCTGCTTCCCTGCTTCCATATAACTTATGTATGCCCTGCTCCTATATAACTTAGTATGTATGCCCTGCACCCATGTAATCATGTGCCCTGCTTCCATATAACTTATGTATGCCCTGCACCCATGTAATCATGTGCCCTGCTTCCATATAACTTATGTATGCCCTGTAATCATGTGCCCTGCTTATATAATATGTACTTATGTATGCACCCATGTAATCATGTGCCCTGTTTATATAACTTATTATGCCCTGTACTTAGTATGTATGCCCTGCACCCATGTAATCATGTGCCCTGCTTCCATATAACTTATGTATGCCCTGTACTTTAGTATGTATGCCCTGCACCCATGTAATGTGCCCTGCTTCCATATCATGTATGCCCTGCACCCATGTAATCATGTGCCCTGCTTCCATATAACTTATGTATGTGCCCTGCTACCATGTGCCCTGTTTATATAATTATGTGTGCTCCCCTGCTCCTATGTAATCATGTGCCCTGCTCATGTGCCCTGCACCCCCATATATAATTATGTGTGCCCATGTGCCCTCCCATATAACAATGTGTGCCCTGCTCCCATGTAACTAATGTGTGCCCTGCCCTGTTTCCATGTAACTATATGTGCCCTGTTTCCATGTAACTATATGTGCCCTGTTTCCATGTAAATTTGTGCTCTGCTCCCATGTAATTGTGTGCTTTGCTCCCACATAATCATGTGGTCAGCCAACCTTGTAATCATGTACCCTGCTCCCATGTAACTATGTGCGCCCTGCTCTCATGTAATCATATGCCCTGCTCCTATGTAGCTACTGTATGTGCTCTGCTTCCATGTAATCATGTACCCTGCTCCCATGTAACTATGTGCGCCCTGCTCTCATGTAATCATATGCCCTGCTCCTATGTAGCTACTGTATGTGCTCTGCTTCCATGTAATCATGTGCTCTGCTCCCATGTAATCATGCACCCTGCTCCCATGTAACTATGTGTGCCCTGCTCTCATGTAATCATGTGCTCTTCTCCTATGTAGCTACAGTATGTGCTCTGCTCCCATGTAATCATGTTCCCTGCTCCCATGTAAATATGTGCCCTGCTGACCCCTCTACTTTAACCTTTTGGCCCCCCATACACTGCTTATATCAAGCTGGATCCAGAATTAAGCATCTGAGCAGAAAAAAGCGAGTATAAGTTTCACGTTAAATAAGTACATTTTAATATTTATTCTACTATTCAATCCTATTTTGAAAAATATCTATCAACAGCTCACTAATCACACTGATGTTCCATGAGATAGGGATATGAAAATTATTTCAGGGGTTCCCCAAGATTTCAAACTTTTTGCCAAGGGTTCCTCCAAGGTAAAAAGGTTGAGAAACACTGACCTAGGGTGTCGAGTGTTAGGCACAGGTGCTTGGCTGCTGCACATGTTAATTTGGTCATGATTATTATTAAGAGAACCACCTTACTTGAATTTCTCACTGCCATTCAACCACCTCACCATTTTGGCCTTGGTGGCACGAACACTACCGATATTCTCTTATGTTATCTAGCCATCAAAAAATTCACCCCCTGCATGCAAGCATGTCACAGGCTTTGCATCTATGCCAATGATGCCAGGGTGGAGGCATATGACCCTGATTACAATTTAATTAGCCTAAGCACTGCCCCTCAGTACCACCTCCTCATGGTGGGTCACTGATCATGTTGCACTGTCATTTGGCTCTCTCAAAGCAGTGCCAATCCACTAGCTATTTATATGAATACTTACATTCTTCTTCATTTCTCATTTGCACCTAAATCTGCTAAAGTACAGTTGTGGGTGGTGCCCATGTGGTGACGGGGAGAGAGTGCACGCGCATGCCCCAAGTAGCCAACAGAGACATATATCATAACACAGAACCAATGTTAAGGTGGTACCAATTTGTTAAAGTGGCAATTCTCTACACAGACATTAATTAACTCCTTGTAATCCTTTACATTGTACAATATGGATGACAGTTCCTCAAGACATTTCATAATACTTCTCTCTCTCAGCTGTGCAGTATTTCTGAGCTGGAGCCGCAAAGCTTGCACTTGCCTTCTCCAGCACAGTTACCAGACACCTCATCCGAGTGACGCTGATTCATAAACAGTATTACAATTG